GTATTACCTAGGTTTTTTGAGTGGGGGAGAATTTTTTGCCGGCTGCGGTGTGGAAAAAGTCTGCGGAAAGAGAAAAAATCAAAGGATTTAGGCGGCTGTTTTGAGAGAAAAATAGTGAGATTTTTGAGGAGAAGAAAAAGAGAGATTTTACAAAAGAGAGGTTAATTTCTTTTGGGTAAAAATCAGATAACTTTTCTTTGAGACGAGCTTGTGGATTGTACAAGTCGTCGGTGTTCTTCTCATAGTGGAATCTCCCCTCACCCCTCCCGTGGACGTAGGCAAGTTTGCCGAACCACGTAAATCTCGTGTATTTATTATTTTCTGGTTGTTGGCTATTGCTTGTAGGTTCCCTCAATATTCGGTCTTAGAGCTGATGAGAGGAAGAGTGTATATTTCACTTTGATGAAATATATCACTTTCAATTCTTGTTTCCTTTGAGAAATAAGAATTTCATTATCTATTCTCGTTTCCTTTGAGAAACAAAAATATAGAGGTTGACTTATGCTTTTGGGACAACAAAAGCCAGGGCTTTCTCTCAGGTGATATCACTTCCGCGGCGGCGGGCGTGACTCTGCGCCCTACATATTCACTATAGAAAGATTTTCTTGAACTCTTGCTTTTAAAGGAAGTATGATCCTCTTAGTTTTAGAAGCATATTTCCGAGTTTTAGCGTTTCACCTCCATTCTTTCTTTGCTTTGACCCTTCACTTCTTTTGCTTCTTAATAAATTCCAAAGACTTCACGTTGTAATGTCATTGTTTTTTTAGATTTTTACTAAAGCAATTTATTTACTTGGGGGGGGGGGTTAGTATCTTTTTAAATAGAACTGGGATAATTGGTAAAGTGGGATAATATTTTGACACTGGGATAATTTAGTGGAACAATGATGAGTAATTCTTAAAGTGAGATAATTTGGTAGGATAATTTGGTGGGATAATGATGGATAATATTATGAAGTTGCATAATTTGGTAGGATAATTTGGTGAGGGTAATGGTGGGTATAAATTACTATTGTTAATAATTGTATATTAAAAATAATATAATATTGATAAGAAAATTCTAGATATAACTATAAAATATAATGCAATAAAACATCACTACTCATCTCAAATAATAAAATAATTTACAAATAAATAAAAATCTAAATCCCTAGAGTGACTCGACTTTCATCATCTCACATGGCTTCTATCATCCCACATGTCATCTGCCATAGAATTTCTCCAAGCTCCTACAACTGCTCGTTGAGTCTGTAACTCGTCTTTTTTATCGGAGTCATCGTCTGCATCAACAACATTTCGTGGAGCTTCTAGCAGAGGATCATAAATGTCGAAGTTCAAATCTCATAACATCATAAAGAAAGAAAAATAATCATTTTCAGCCATTAACCCTTTGGACCAATCTCATCATGATCGCTGAAATCAAATCAGCAAATAAATGAAATGTACACAGGAATCATCCAATCAATTTACTGAGCCGATTTAATAATAATAGATATCACCATTAACCATTCAACATCTAATCATCAATGTGATCACAAAGTTGCTTTCTAACTTATAAAAAAAACATAAATAGCCCGCATATCTTTAGCATTAACCCACCAACACTATATTCTTAACCTAAACCACTGTTGTGGAGAGAAAACTTAGATCAAACAAATAATAATAAAGTAATTTAATGTCAAAAAACTATCAATAAAGTAATACATCTTGAAGATAATAATAAAAGATCTAATCATCACAAAAACAAAGTAAAGACAGAAAAATAAACGGATGATTGACTTCATGGCAGAGAAATTTTCTAGGCGGAGAAACTAACCAAGAGGGAGGGATGCGACGTTTCACTTTTCCCCCCAATTGTATTCTTTCCAATGTGTGGGATAATTTGAGAGAGGAGAACTTATGGTTATATATATAAGTAGTATAATTTGTGGGATAATATGACCAATTATCCCAATTCTAATTCTAGTAGAATTCTACTTGACTAACGCACCAAAAAAATAATACAGTTCTAGTTCTACAAAAGTTCTACTTGACTAACACTATAAAAAAATATCTTATTTCCTAGTTCTATGTCACTAACACCTTAAAAATTTATCCCACAAATTATCTCAATTCCAGTTTTAAGTTCTAGATGACTAACCCCCCTTCTTGAATTCAGAAATGCCCTTCAGTTTGGAAGAAAAAATTGCAAAAGATTAGTGGAAATGTCTAAAAGAAACTAACAAACATATCCTCAAACATGGGGGAAAAAAAAGAAGCAACAGATCGTCCATTCCTTGGAAAATTTGATTACAACACTACCTGAATTAATATTTGTGCACATATCACATACACCCAAATACTAATAATTAATTAAAATGAGTAGCAGACTACAAGTTACAAATATTCACTTCCAGTGTGGAACCACAAATATGCGCTTCAAAGGTTGAATCCAAGCAAATAAAATACAAAGTCATGCGACGAACACCTCTAAATATTGGACAAGGAATGCAAAGAATACAAGGGTAAATGACAAAACAGTAAGAGCATCTCTAACAGCTTTTTCAAAATTTTTTCCAAAATGGGGAAGCAAAAGTCATATTCTCCAACTAATTTTTACACCAACTCCAACAGCTTCTCCATTTTGAAGAATCAATTTTTTCCTCTAAAAATTTGGAGAATGCTGCAGATTTGGGGAAGCTTCCCTATTTTTTCCCCTCCATCCCTATTTTGGGGAATGAGATGGGGAATCTGTTGGGCCAAAAACCTAACTAAATTCTCCAAAAATGAGAAATGGGGAAGCTGTTGGAGATGCTCTAAGGATATGTTTGCCTGCATATATTAAAAGAAGAGAAAATTCGGTTTGTGTCACCAATAACTCCTTTAAAAAAATAAAAACTAAGAAAGACCTGAATTCCCTTTTCTCAAAAAAACGCATATTTGTAAAGCATACATATCATATCAAAGTCCTTCAAAAAAGAAAGGATTTTTGAGAAATGTGGAAAAAAGTGTTAAAAGGGATTTTTCAGGTGGCTAAAGTGTCTCTTTACTTCCGTGCAGTAGATGAGTTTTGCATTGATTGGAAAATAGGACACACAGGTTTAAAATATTGGATTTTTATTAAATGCACTTTTTGTTTGTTATTTTTCATGCTTGTTGTGTAGGATCAATGTATCAAACGTGCTCCTCTGAAATTATGTTTATTTCAGCAAAATTTATTATTTTAGTCACATATTATTAACTCAACTATGGTTCAACCAAATAAATTTTTATTGAATTTTATATTCCATGCAATTCATCTTCAATACCCAGTACAAACAAACAAGACTTTAAATATGGATTTTTCAAATCCACTACTTGCATTAAGATGTAATTCATGAAAATGATCTTTTCAAAAAAAATAAAAAAAATCATGAAAATGATTGGTTAGAGCTTTATTATTATTTTTTGGCTTATTAATATAACCCTTATTTGGTTAGACTATTTAAATATGGATGTTGATAATTTGAATGATCTGGTTAGCACAAAAAATACCCAATAAATGATCCGAAATTGATGTAGATCAGAATCAACGCCGATCCATGACGAAGTCAAAGATCTATCATGATCTCAGTACCAAGCTTTACCAATTTTGCCCATGCTTTCTTCTATTTGAAATAAATGCGAATTACAAAAAATTGCAGACATTGTCTTTGCATACAAGCACTCTAGGTAAGGTTAAGCGTATTTTCACCACACCAATTCTAGCTTTCTACATCCATGCGATGCAGTAGGGTGAGCTCACATCGAGTGACCAGATCCAGCAAAATATTCAGTTTTCTCCGCTTTGCCTTCCTTCAAAGAAACACAAAGTTGCACCGCGACTTTAAATCGCTGGTCATTCTGACAAGTGGGACCCTGGACCAGGCTTTATTGTAGGTGGATTAGTGAGTTTTGCGTTGAATTATGGGAGTTTTGATGAATTATTAATTAAGACGTTCTACGTGCCGAAAGCCCTGCGGTCATTCCCGCGAACCGTTAAAACAAACGGAGAAAGTGAACTTTTGCGACTTAGTACCTGTAAGTTTGTATTTGCTAGAGAAATAACTGATGTTTTTGTTTCCCCTTTACACATCTTCAGTTTATGATACCTAGTCACTTTAAAATTGTGAAAAAAGCAGTTGTATAAGTAGTCTCACGAGTTGATAAAAAAGTAATAGACAAACCCTTCTAATTTAGTATAATACTTGTGGATGCAACATAAGGTAAGTATTTTTAGAGTTGCAAATCGTATTATTTTTTGGGTTAAAACTGATAAAATCCACCAATTGTTGTAAGCAACGGTCGATGTATCATATATAGCTTATGACTTAATTTTTGTTTAAGATGAAAAGTTGTAATATAAAGAATTTTTTTTGAAAATATATATTATATGGATTTAACACTAAATGCCTCTTTTCGAAAACGATTTTTTTTTCAATTATCATGTTCTAATATCTCTGTAATTTATAGAAAGTATTATTATCTTTGAAGTGATGCGAGGATCTAGCAAATTAAGTTAACATTCATGTATTTAAAATTTTATACTACTTTCCATTTATAATTAAAAAAATAATTAATTCAAGTATCTGGAGTTCTAGCTTTCATTCATATTAAATTTAATCCATATGCTCAGACTTATAGTTATTCAATTTTGCACCTCATCATTTAATGTTACATTTTATTTATACTGAATATACGAAAAATTATTTTTTTGACTCATATTATGTATATACTTTGACATATCAAATCAAATTTGAATTTTTTTCTTGAATGTTTTATAAGAAAAAAGAAAATAATGTATATTTACTTGAAGCTTCGCTTTCCTACTATTAATGTTAGTATGTCAAATTGGACAACTTTAAGCCTCTTAACTCTTGATTTCTTTCTTTTTACAAAGCTAAAAATCTAATATCCAAGTCTAGAGGGGGCTAATATGCTAAGAAACCTAACGTCAAAAAACAAACGGGCGTCATCGAATTTGGACAGTCCCTTCAATAACCCGTTTAGTACCCATACGCCTCTCTCTCTCTCTCTCGAAACCCTAAAAGCGCCCCCCAAAAGTTTTGAAACCCTAGTTTCTCCCTCCGACATCCATGGATCCTTCTCCCCTCTCCGGTGATTTTCTCGGCGGGGGCTGAATCTACTCTCTCGTCGACTCTCATCGAGATCCAATCGCAATTTTAGGTATTTTTTTTATCGTCAAACGGAAGAAATTTAGCGTTTCTCCTATTTAATTACATTCTAGGTCTGGAACTGAGAGATTTGTAACTTCGGATTCGTTTGAGTTATTAATGATGCGTTGATTGCTTATTTTGTCGATTTTAGAGGTTATTTTAGGTCGAATTTGGTAGTTTCTAGAAATTGCTGGTCTGCTTTCTTTTATTTTAGCACTTTTCTGTATTTCTGGGTGATTATCAGTCAGAATTTACTGTTCTAATTATGATATTTTTTAGAGCAGGATTTCATGGACTATTAATGGAATTAAATTATTCGAATGATTTGTTTTATCTCAAAAATTGGAATATGAATCCCATGCTTTTCTTCTAGCCTGTGCTAGTACCGTGTTAGAAGAAAACTTGCCAGAGATTATATTTTATATTATAGCTATCTGTTTATTTTTAGCTACCATAGATGAGATATTATCTTTATAATATTATAGTTAGGAGATATGTCTTGAATGTTGATTATTTTATTGGGGGATTTGATGGGCTTTTTTTTTAATCTATTATTTTCTTTGTAGACATCACTATTGGTTTGACTGGTGAGTTGTTGAAGGAACATTTAGCTTATCCTTTGGAAACAGCCTTCTTTATGGACTTTGTTTGTGGGTATTTGACTGTATCGTCTACTTGTTTGACCTGTACACGGCAGATTGTAATTTTTGTTAAGTGGGGTTTTGGTTTCATATTAGGTAGACCAATCTGTTTGCTCTCTTTCTTGCCTGTTCTTTTGTTTTGTTGTAATTTTGGCGTAACTGATGTCATCACACACCTAAAAAAGGTTTATCTTTTATTGGAATATTGTCATATTTCAACGGCCCATCTAACATCTCTGTGTGACAATGGGACTATTGGAGAGTATTTCAGGGCTTTTAGCGGAGAAAAAGGTGATGGTCTTCCTATATTTGATTCGGAGCCTGATGATATTTTCTATATCTTATTTCTGAGTCATCTGTTTCTTCTTAAGCTGCCTTTTTTGCCTGAGAAAAAAAATGAAATTTTTTCTCGCTGTCCTCTGGCCCTTTAGGCTTTAGCACGGTATTTTCTTGTGTAGTCTGTGTTGCTTTGTGTTTAATTAATTTTTTTCTAATTTTATTACCTTTACTCACCATGCAATTGTCCATCTCCTAGATCTTATGTATATTTGTGTTTTAACAGGAATAAGCTGGAGCATAAAACCACACTTCTAGTTTTTAGAGCATCTGGGAGATGAGAATCGGAGAATCTAGGCTTATGATTTGTAAATTCCCTCTTTACCAGGCTAGCTTCTTTTGAGTTTTGCCTCTGTATTTAGCAAGGATCTGTTTTCCTCTAAAAAAAATAAATATGGGGGCCAATTGTTGTGTTGCTGCAAGGGACAAGCCCTTGCCGGATAGGATTAGTCGTGAACTTTCTAGTTATAGGAATGTTAGAAATTCTCCATCATGGAGCTTTCGATGGGACAACCGAACTCATATAGAAGATATCATGGACAATCCTTCTCGGTTTTCTCAGCATAATAGTGGTAATATCAGCTCTGAAAGTAAGAGTGGAGCTGACATAGAAACTGAAGGTCTTTCTGATGGAGGGAGCCCATCATTTAGGCTCCAAACCCCCAAGTTGAGGAAGAAACTAGGATCTGCTGGAAGCTCTAAATCGGCTGCTGCAGGTAAAGTGTTATTAGTCCTTTTTTTCATGGTATAATGTTTTAGTTGTAAGCTGAATTTGTTTTAAAACTAATTTGATGTATGAGTGGTCTGTTTATAGTGTTCAGCTCTATTGTAGTAATTAATGTTAACACTTCGACATGTTCCATGTAGTTCAACTAATCTTGGTATAAAATAATGTTGTTTGTTTAAATGTAATACATTCTTAGTACAGTTTAGCATTTCGCCAACAACTTTTGAGCTTCTTTTTTGGCCTTTTATTAACCCTTTTCTGCATCTTTTTGTCTCCGCTGCTCTATTGCGGTTTTGATTGCATTAATGTGTTTGCTTGGTATGTATGCTATGTGACGATGTTTAAAACCACTCTCATGCTGGTTTATTCAGAAAACACACAACCTTCATTTTTTTAACTTGGCTGTGGTACTTGATTTGGTTTCCTACTGAACTTGGCATTTTTTGAAGAATATTATTGTTATTGCATTTTTTACTGCCCGACCATAATTTGATAATAAGTAAATGCATATGGTCCAATGATTTTTAGGCTAACAAATCTATTCCATTGACATAAAACTATTGGGTTCACTGTTCAGCTATGTGTAGAGTAATCTAGAAGTTCTCCTTTAGATATATCGTCAGGTTGGATGTACTAGGTGGGTGCAGAATGGGAGCGTCTAGGTAAGTTAATTGGAAAGTGTGAGGGGAAGTTAGGGTCTAACTCTTATGTCGCCTTTTTAGATTTCTTTACCCTTACAAGTTGCCAACCCTGATTATGCCTCTGAAATAGGATCAACCATCCAATGCAGAAAATGGGCAGAGCACTTTTTTATGAGGACTTACTAGGTCTACAATATGGCTGACCTGCTCTTGCTTTGACAAGTTTAGGCCCTTTAAGTAAACCAAATGTCCAAATCTGAACAATATAAACGTTTAAATTGCAATTAGGTGATACAATTATCTGTAACTAGTCTATTAGCTGTGGCAAATAAAACATGCCAGCCTTTCGTTCTCTACATTGTTTAATGAACTAAGTTTGTGCTTTTAATGGGTATAAATGAGCTGAGCATGATCAATCTTGGCATGACCGGGTTTGGAGAAAATTTCCTAGTTAGATAAGCACATCAATCTTATGTTCAAGCTCATTCCCAAGTGTGAATTATAATGTTATGATCAAGCTCCAGTAGCTTAATTTTGAAAACCCGAGCTATACAAAATGGCTTATTTATTTTGCGTCTTTGACGATTGTAGTATCCAACTGTTCTTATGAAAATATGTTCAACCTTCGTTTAGTGGACTTTGTTGTAATCTTAAAGAGACTGAACATGATAAATGATTTACCAAATGTATGGAGTTGCAAGTATTATGAAGATTAATTTAGTACATAACACTTGATCTTCTTGTTAGCTTGGTTGAAACTGTGTTACAAACTCGTCGGAGTAAGCCTAGCTTGCTCATTAATTCGTCAATCTGTACAAGCTATGTTGTTTATGAGCCATATATTCACATATAACCAGTTAAATTATTATCAATTGTTTTCTGGTTTTAAAAATAAAATGAGACTACCCAAGCATGAATAACCAGACCTTTTGCAAGTTTACCTCTTTTGTTACTTTGAGCTCCACTAGTCATTTAAGCTAGGTTTTTCTACCAATTCATCTACTTTATTGAAAGCTGAAAGTCAAGATGGAAAAGCATGCCCATCTTTGCATGCCTAGATGTTTATCAAGCTGCTGACAATTGAATGGAACCCAGCGTGGATAAGGGGGTTGTATGGAAACTGCTCTTATCCGGTTGCAAGATGGGTCTAAAATATGCTTAGATTTTTAGCTCTTGGTGACCTTTAGCAATCCAGATGTTTTTGATTTACAGAAATTTTAGGAAACTTTGGCTTCTCCTTTGCCGGTCATTGTGAGCTTAGGTGACCAATCACTTGGGAGACATTTGAAGAAGCAACATGGCTATCTTCAATTAGTTTTTCTTATAATTTGGCTACACTTGTGAGCAAGCTTGTGATTACTCATAGTTATGATATACTGACGAACTAAGAAATTTTTTCTTCAATTAATTATTCTTCTCTTTTATTTCTGGAAAGAGACAAACTAAGTAATACGTATGATATATTGACAATACAATAAATGGTTGCTTTGTGATTACTCATAGGCTACTGAGGTGCAGATTCTGTACGTGTGAAAAAGTTTAGCCACAATTGCAGAAGAAATGGATACTTTTTGACCATCATTTTGTTTTCTTCTGTTTTATTTCATTTTTTATATTATTCATTCTTTCTCTATAGTTCAATATGTTTTCCCTTTTCTAACTGTCATTGTTATTAAGGTGTGGTTACATCTGAAATCTTACACTATTTTCCAAACTATTGCATCTCTGCAATCTGTATACTGTCCTCTTTTTTTATTCTTGGGCAGATACAGATGAACTTAGTGAATCTTGAGTGTGCCTTTACTCTGAAACCACGTCATTGTAATTGGTCCCCAATATGGCTTGAGCATACTCATTCCACATTCCATATCATGCAATTTCGTTTGTAGTTTATTTTTCTTGTTCGTTTGAACCTTCTTATTTTCTTTTCGACTTCTGATTTTACATAACACAAAGTGCATCCAAGTCACGAAATTTTAACTCAAGTTCCCTAGGTTTGTTTAGATCATAGAAAACTCAGCTACCCTACCAGCATCTCTCTAAATTGTCACAAAGATATCAAAACATGACACATTTATAATGGGCCAGTGTTTACTAAGTTAAAAAAACTGGTAAGGTGTTATGTATTCATTATTTTTGTCATCTAAGCCATTTCTTTATTGAAATATATTTATCTTTGGAGCAATATTTTATATTAATGATTCTAATGGTCAAACAACTCTTACATAGGTGTAAAGTACCGTAAAATGATGGCCCTCCACAGTATTATTAAATTAATTATGAAATTGCCAATGAATGTTCCTGTTTCTTTATCACCTATATGAGTAATATTCTTTAGACCAGGAAGAAATATTTTCTATGCAAGACCCCCAGAATGCACTCTTTTTTTCCTCCCCTTCTGCCATTTTAACTACTATTCCTGTGCCTATAACAGGTCAATTGACAAGAAGCAATTTCTCTGCTGAGGTGAGTTGAAATAAAGATGCATTCATTTGCTCTTCGTAAGATTTTCTTTTTTCCTTTTCTTTTGTGTGCAATTTGGCCCGACTTCACAACTGTTTTTAAACCTTGTATAGGAGAAGGGTACCATTAAGTCATCAACTGTATCAAGTTCTTCAGATGTGAGACTCTCATTGTCCATTCCATCTACTCCATCTTCTTCGTCATTTAAAGTATCAGATCCTTCACCCTCATCTAGAAAAGCACGGCGTTCCCCAGGCTATCCCTTATCTAGACAAGTCTCTGACAGCAGGATCCCTTCCCTCAAATCCTTGAATGAGAGCAGCAACTGCTCTCCAGAAGGGAGACCATCTTTCGTTCTCTCAACTGGAGGGTCTCATGGCGGTTCCTCAGATGGCTGGTCGATGAGAACATTCACCGAGCTAGTGGCAGCCTCTTCACAGAGGGACCCTCGGTGGTCACTAGACAGCGAAAACACCAGCAGCAACAGCAAGACGGAAAGATCTTATTCCTCCTCTTCTGATCCCCACACCTGCAGGGTATGCTCAAAGCTATTGAAGGAGAAGTCTCCATGGAGTGCACAGAAGATAGTCTCGACCAACGAGCTCGCTGTGGCTGCAGTTCTCATTTGTGGCCATGTCTATCATGCTGATTGCTTGGATAGCATAACATCAGAACATGATCGATATGATCCTCCTTGCCCTTTGTGCACAAATAATGAGAAACTGACTCCGAAACTGAAGGCAAGAAGCAAGATATCTAGAAGAGCTGTAGCTGATATTGATGTCCATGGAGAATGTAGAAAAAGTCCGAGCATGGGGGCGAGCTTGAGCATGAAGAGGCCATTCTTGAAACGTCACTTCTCTATTGGTTCACACCCAGTGTCGGAAAATGAGACGACGAGGAGGAAGAAAGGGTTTTGGTCGAGAAGCCGTAGGGATTGAAATTGAATGAGCTCGCCCGACAAAAGAGGGTAAGAGGTGAGCATCTGTGTTCTTGGTTCTCGTATTGTTGATTTGATTCATATAGTTACTTCAGTGAAAAAGAACTAGTCTTTATTGTTATGGTACCGCCCTTGCTTAGTTGCTTGCCTATAATAAATTCTGCATTCTTCTGTTATATATGGTATATTATATGCTCAGTATAGTGTGTAACAATGGATGAATTGTTACCAAACAAGAAGAGTATTTATTGAGGGGTAGAAAGTAGCAGGGGTAAAGAGTTATGTTGACTGTGTTAGTTGAATGTACCTTCGTATTTCTAACGCACATTGTGAATACTGCAAAAGTGAATCGAATTCTCCATGATTTCGATAGCATAGGTGCATATGGGGGTTGTTCGACAACTCTTCATAACAGTTTGAAGCAGCATTTATATCCTAGGAAAATGCAAGTATTGGATCGTAATTTTTCTTCATCATATGCATCCACTTATTTGGAATGGCATATGATTTTCATGAATGAAAAAAATGGAAGAAAAAGCAATTTATGGGGGCGTGGGTGTTTGTTGGATTCAGAATGAACCATGAACATCCCGAAAACTAGTTGTACGTGCGCCCACTTTAGCCTGGGTCTAATTCGTTAGCTTTGGTGAGTTTATAACAAACAATCAATGAATTGTTACAGGCAAAATTACTATTTGTTGGGGGAAGAAAAGAAGCAAGGTCCGAGGGCCGCGTGTGTTTGGGAAGACATTTTTTCTGAAGCTCATAAGTTTTATGATAAAAATGATGTAAAAATTATTTGTGTAAAATAGTAATTTGTTTGGGAAGACATTTTTTCTGAAGCTCATAAGTTTTATGATAAAAATGATGTAAAAATTATTTGTGTAAAATAGTAATTTGTTTGATCAAACTTATCTTATTTAAGTGAGCTTATAAGTTATATTTTCAAAAGATTATTGTAATTAGTATGAACCACAAATATTATGATAAAAGAATGAATGATTTTGAATATTTTGAGATTTGTCCTCATAAGGTTAAAGGTCTTCGGAAAGAGAAAAAGCTTGAGACTTTGATTGATCCTGAACTACAAAGCAATTATATAGAGGATGAGGTAGAGTCTCTCATTCAGATTGCCCTTCTCATTTGTATTTGTTTGGATATCTACTTGAGTTGTTCCTGTGAAAATGGGATTGGTTGCAGAAAACCACCCTTGTAAATCCAGGTAAAGCGAAAAAAGAAGTTTGCAGAGTGCATTGCACAAACTTATTCAGGTAAAGCGAAAAAAATTCAGCAAGATGTGTCCAATAGGTGGAATTCTACGTTTCTAATGTTGGAGAGTGTTTTGAACTTTCGTATGTTAGCAAAAGTATTTAACTGTGTAAGTATCTTAACTGTGTTTCTGCATGCAGGATTCACTGGTGGAGACTGCCAAAGAGCAAGCTAGTTCCATAAGCAATATGATTACACAGGCTACCAAGTAGAATTTTGTTCCCATTGTTTTTGCTGATATCATGTGAGAGATGAAAATTCATTGTATATGGTCTTCTGAGCTTTTTCATACACTGTATTTTTCCTTTCTGTAATGTTAGAACAACATGATTGTTCCGAACTTGTTTTTCCTACGTGAAGTAACTGACATTTTTACCCCATCATTATTGAAAATTATCGAATCGAGAATTTAAAACTGATGAGCTCTCCTCAAGTTACATTGATACTCTTTCTCTCTCTGAAGTCCACTCGTGGGGTTATTGTGGTATTTTAAGGCGAGTTGTGATGATTATTCATAGGACATGTTTGCACGTTCGAAAAAGTTGTGCTCTATTTGAATTTCTTTTTGATGTGGCATAAGTGGCTTCTTGTGGCATTGATTATCGCAATAAGCAATGTATATCATTCTGCAGGTGATGTATTCTTTGAGTTCTTTGCGCTTGGCATGGTAAAAAGAAAAAAAAATACATGATTGGTAATTTTAATGCTATATTGTTCAATATGTTCATGCTATTTTGCAAAAAGCCCCCAATAGTATACAAAAAATCCCTAAATGTTTACAAAAATCATCCTAAAAAAAATTATACATATATAGTTATTATAATTAAGTGGGCAAATGGGCGACCCGTTTATTAAATGGGCGACCCGTTTATTAAATGGGCGGGCAAAAACCCGCCCATTTAAAAAATGTTAAATAGGCCATAAATGGGTAAATGAGCAAAACATGCCCGCCCATTTATGGTCCGCCCATTTAATACCCAAACCCACCCATTTAACATCCCTACTCTCACGTAACCTTCAATCAATTTGTACACAAAAAACACCTTTAAAGGGGTTTCAGTCGCAATTAGTGACGGAGCCCTGAATTTTAGGTAGGAGGGCCAAAAAACTTAAAAGTTACACACAATAATATGTTAAAAATTTGTATTATTGATTAGTATCATACATCACCGCAATAGCAAGAATTTCAACATCAAATTTCAAATTAGAGTATAATTTTTACAACAACACGGAAAATGATAGGAGAAGTGCAGCAAACAAGAACAAAGTAGGGCACGGAAGGGCTGACCGAAATGATTGTGGATGGCCGACTAGTTCAGAGGAGAGTAGAAGAGGTAAGACCAGGCTGAATTTTTTTGATCATTTTATCGTTAGAGAAAGAGATTTTTTTTTTTTGATAAATAGAACTCCTAAGGGTAAAAGAATTAACAAACTTCATTCACGAGGTGTATCAGCAATTGGACAATAGTAAAAGCTTATAGGAGGTCTATCGGCAACAATAAAACTATAGTCTATTCATAATTAGGCAGTTGTACAAGCGGGTCTATCCCCTGATTTTTTTTTTCTCTATGTCAATAAGATCATAAGATGTTATACAAACTCAAAACAACCTTTTGTTTTAGTGCAGCGAACAACTCCCATCCTACTAATGTCAATGCCCAAATGACCAGTAGTCTTAAAGATCGATGTTTTTTACACAGTAAATTAGAACCAAGAGAAATTCATGGGGGTTATTCACCCAGGACCCCATTGTATACCTTAGGAGAGCTGAGAAAGAGAAAAAGCTTGAGACTTTGATTGATCCTGAACTACAAAGCAATTATATAGAGGATGAGGTAGAGTCTCTCATTCAGATTGCCCTTCTCATTTGTATTTGTTTGGATATCTACTTGAGTTGTTCCTGTGAAAATGGGATTGGTTGCAGAAAACCACCCTTGTAAATCCAGGTAAAGCGAAAAAAGAAGTTTGCAGAGTGCATTGCACAAACTTATTCAGGTAAAGCGAAAAAAATTCAGCAAGATGTGTCCAATAGGTGGAATTCTACGTTTCTAATGTTGGAGAGTGTTTTGAACTTTCGTATGTTAGCAAAAGTATTTAACTGTGTAAGTATCTTAACTGTGTTTCTGCATGCAGGATTCACTGGTGGAGACTGCCAAAGAGCAAGCTAGTTTCATAAGCAATATGATTGCACAGGCTACCAAGTAGAGTTTTGTTCCCATTGTTTTTGCTGATATCATGTGAGAGATGAAAATTCATTGTATATGGTCTTCTGAGCTTTTTCATACACCGTATTTTTCCTTTCTGTAATGTTAGAACAACATGATTGTTCCGAACTTGTTTTTCCTACGTGAAGTAACTGACATTTTTACCCCATCATTATTGAAAATTATCGAATCGAGAATTTAAAACTGATGAGCTCTCCTCAAGTTACATTGATACTCTTTCTCTCTCTGAAGTCCACTCGTGGGGTTATTGTGGTATTTTAAGGCGAGTTGTGATGATTATTCATAGGACATGTTTGCACGTTCGAAAAAGTTGTGCTCTATTTGAATTTCTTTTTGATGTGGCATAAGTGGCTTCTTGTGGCATTGATTATCGCAATAAGCAATGTATATCATTCTGCAGGTGATGTATTCTTTGAGTTCTTTGCGCTTGGTATAGTAAAAAAAAAAATACATGATTGGTAATTTTAATGCTATATTGTTCAATATGTTCATGCTATTTTGCAAAAAGCCCCCAATAGTTTAAAAAAACCCCTAAAAGTTTACAAAAATCATCCTAAAAAAATATACATATATAGCTATTATAATTAAATGGGCAAATGGGCGGCCCATTTATTAAATGGGCGGGCAAAAACCAGCCCATTTAGAAAATGTTAAATGGGTCATAAATGGGTAAATTGGCAAAACATGCCCGCCCATTTATGGCCCGCCCATTTAACACCCAAACCCACCCATTTAACATCCCTACTGTAGACTACGAGTATGTGTGAAAGAGTAGGAGATTAAAGATCACGTGCGGGGCACGTGACTATGCATGCTCCTTTCGTTTAGTTGTTGCTTTATAGTATGTTTGATTATGTGATAATAGATGGGAGCTAGTATTGAATAGATGATGGTCTTCAGCTATTAATTGTTCTTTCTTTTCTTAAGTGATGTTTAAGCTTAATACAAATTAAGACCGTATTCCTGTTAAGTCAAAATCTTAGTTTTTCCGTCTTTGAATTTTCAGCCTTGTTTGACTAGCGTTTCTGATGATTAAAAGTGGAATAAAACTTGTGAGCGATAAGATTCACGCGACAACATTGACTTGAGTCTAGTCTGATAAGAGTCAAATAAGAGAACTTAGATAAAAAAAGATGAGTTAAAGCTGATAAGATTCATGCGACAACATTGACTTGAGTCTAGTCTGATAAGATTCAAGTAAGAGAACTTAGATATAAAAGCTGATGACGGAGATGGTGCGATGGTTGGGTTGCTGGTGAGACGGATTGTTGCTGAAGGAGCTATAAGCCGGATGACCTGCGCCCACGAATCGTTAAATCCTTGAATGTTAAAAGAATTACCTTTTTTATGTGCACTCCGAGCTTAGAGTTGCACAACCTCTCTCCTAACTAAAAAGGTAGTGGAAATAAAATAAATACCGGAAGGACCACTGTATTTAATAGAAATTGCGATTATTTAATTTACAGTACCAATGGACGATTGCAATCATTCTAAAAATTGACATTTACCTTTATCCCTATTAATTTCACTCATTCCTATTTTACATTCAATAAAATAAAATAGATCGTAACTTTCGTTAATCAATTAATTTACGACTATTCAAATAGTAGCGATTTCCTTACTAATTTCACTTTTTAATAGTGAAGAGGATATATGATTATTGAAGTAGGAGTGATTTTCCTGTTATCACTTTTCTATAGTGGAGAGGATTCCAATCCCTTTTGTTTTCCCCCCTAGGGTAAATGAGATGTAGCGGCACGTCAAAGTGTAAATTAAGATAATCTTCATATCGTGAGTGGGTGGTGCATAACGGTGGCTGTTCCAAGTGAGTGAATGCCAAGCTTTGGACAGAGATGTCGTCGACCTTTCGGCTTTAGAAAAATATACGTAACATGAAACATATATAACAATGTATAAGTGATTATATAACCGTCGAAGAAGATGTCTACCGCTGTAACAAATTAAAGTTTTGAACCGAGCAGGGATTACATTTTTATACTTGAGCACGTCTCCACAGAAACCTAACTCTTTTTGTGCCATCTGCTGTCGCCCGTTCCCTCTGTTAAATTTTTTTTTTTTGGGTTTTTGATTTTAGGCCCATTTGTTTACTCAACTTTATCTTTAAACCCAAGTATTATTACTTGTATCTTTAAGCACAACTCTCTTTTTGTATTTATCTTTAAACTCAATCTTCAAAATACAATACTTTCATATGTGGGTCCCCCTAAATATTTTTCTTAAACTCTAATTATAACCTTCATGTAAGTGGGCCCCCTCAAAAAAGAAAAAAAGAAAAATGGAGAGAGAGAGAGAGAGAAACGGGGGATTTCCTCCTGTTTCCCTCCTCTCCCGTGCGGGAGAGGAGACAAACCGGTGGGAAAACGCCCCAACTCTCTCTCTCTCTCTCTCTCTCCCCCTCTTCATCTCTCTTTCTCTCACTTCATTAATAGATTCTTACACTCTCTTATAACCCATCAATTAATCCTCACCCACTTTCTTAGCATTTGAAGGTACAATTTTGCAATTTACTCAACTACCAAGTTTATAGTATTAATTTCTCATTTTATGCATGATAATTATTTGATATTATTAGTTAAATGAGTTCATAAAAATTTTAGAATTTGTTATTTTTGATAAAATGTTAGTTAAATGAGGTTTTGTAAATAACCACCCATTAATTTCACATTATTATTTCACATTAGTTATTTCACATGATTATTTCACACTAATTTCTCATTATTATTTATGAATTCATAAAAATTAGTTAAATTTGTTATAATTGATAAAATTTTAGTTAAATTCGATTTTAGTATAGAATGATAACTTGTAAGTATAGCATGAAATACAAGACTTGTAAGTATAGCACGTTATTCTGTCAGTATAACACATTATCCAAAAAAGATAAATAATTTTTGGATGTAGGATAACGTGTTATACTTACAGTATAACATGCTATTCTTACAGTATAACGTGCTATCTTACATGATAACGTGCTACTTACAGTAAAACGTGCTATACTTACAGTATAACGTGCTATACTTACATGATAACGTGTTATACTTATAGTAAAATATGCTATACTTACAGTAAAACGTGCTATACTTACAGTATAACGTGCTATACTTACAGTAAAACGTGCTATACTTACAGTATAACGTGCTATACTTA